GCAGTGTTTGGCGTCCTGCTGGGCTCTCTCTCACTGAGGGTACCCCATGGCCGGGCTCGCCATAGCCCTCCGCACCCCTCGAGCCTGTGGGTGCCAGGGGATGCAGCCGCTGGGAAGGGTTTACTCAGCTCCCCTTCTCGGGACCCAGCCAAAAGCAGGTCTGACACCACTCGTGGGGCTTTATTTTCTTCTCTGCATTGACTCAGAAATACAAGTGCACTGGAGAGTTCCCTAATTCCTTCATTGGAAAGCCTTATCACAACATTGGTTTTAGAAGAGAACAGATGCAATGACACTAGGTAGAAGAAAATGTATCTTTTGATCTACTGAGTACAGTTGCTTTCTTGGTGTTAGCTTTGGTTTTAACATCATTAAGTAGAAGACATAATAATATCTCAGGCATGACTGAACTCAGTTACAATAACATATAATGCCTCTGTTGTACAGAAACAATACAATTACAGTATGAAGAATTACTTTGGCAAAGTACGGAGTTTGTCATGCCTGATTTCCCCCCATATTTCTCTAATGTAAGTCTATCAAACATGCTATATTAAAAATAATTTTTCTCCTCTGACAAATAACAGATCTTGTGTGATATCTATAGAAACTTGAAAAAATGAAGCTCTAACCCATATCACCAACAACGGCACGCGTACCAGCACAGCCCTCAGGACAAAGACCTGTGCTTCTGGGGCACGTGCTGTGGCAGCAGGGAACAGCTTTGGCCAAATGAAGTGCCAAAAGGGCTGTCGTGAAAGGCTCAACAGAATTAAAATGCCTTTAAGAGCAGAGGTCCACATTGCTAAAAGCCCATTAGCTTATAATTTGAATAAGAGATGACCTCTATGGATTTTTAAGATAGCTATAGCTTGGGTTTTTAAGAATTACCTAAATTGTGTCACCCTGGGAAGGGATAGGCTGAGTTCAACCAGAGGTATGCACCTTTTCACGGGAAACTATTGAAAGAGTTTCCCTTTTTTGAAGTGTTATTTTCTGAAGCATGAAGTGTTGCTTTCTAAAGCAAAACATATTTTGATATACCATTTCTCTCAATGTGTGTGTATGTGCTCACGTATGTGTGTATATTTTCCAATTAATAACAGGATTACTATTTTACAACTTCTTTCTGAGAAACACAGAATTGCAATAAACTATGGACCTGGGGGCTGAGCTTTGTGATAGGCTCCAGGACCAGAAATAGGACTTTGTCCCTTTACATCAGCCGAGAACAGAGGGATAACGCAAATATTCCTGAGAAACGGCAAACGCCTGAACTCTGAGCTTCTCAAAAGGCATCCTTATCATGCTGAGCCTTATTCATACCATCTGGAAGAGCTGTAATTTAAGTTCTGGCTATTGTTTTACAGGAGAAAGAGACCATCTATATGGCAGAACATGTGTTACTTTCGCTCCTCAGTAACATTCATGCTCGATACTCCTCCTGACCAACGCATCTTGTATGTACACATGATAAACCGCTCACCACTTCCAATGCAGGTCTGGCCTGATGGGCTCCACCACTGCAAGCAGTGACTCTGGTTTGGCGCCACCTTCCAGTCCAGCTCAAACGTCTTTGTGCTCCAATGCCAGAGTCGTGACCAGCCCACACAAATTAAAGCTAGGACTTTCAAAGTGGTTCAAGGAATTGAGAGACCCCCAAATCATATATCTTACACACAAATACGATTCCCAATGTTCTATTCCTCCACTGGAAGTCCCAAACTAATCTGACAGCCTTTTTGCTCCATCCTCAGGGAGGAGCATATCACGTCTCACTGGCAACATCAATAAACTTCCAAAGTGAAACTTATCTTCAGCCCAAAGAATAACGTGCTTCTTGTTTTGAAAGAGGAACGGGGATGTTTGCAATAACAGTTAAGTCCCTTGGCACCTCTGAAAGGCCTTCTTATAAAGAGTGAAGTGCTTTCAGGCTCAGGGGGAAAAAAAATAAATCTCAGTTTGGCGGTTGCAGCTTCGACTTATTTTGAACACAGTCTCGGGGCTGGAGAGAGGGATGGCAAGAGAGAGGGATTGCCCGCTGGCAAGGGAACAGCGGATTGCTGGGTGGAAATACTGCCGCCAAAACCTGTCTCTGCAGAGATGAATGCAAGCCACAGGTGGAAAGGCCTGTGTGCAGCCCACCAAGTTTCTTAAAAAATAAAATAAGTAATTTAGGAAGCCATTTTCAGTAACTAGAACATTTATTACTCTTGCCCTCTCTGGGATGCTGCCAGCTCCCTGCTGGGGACAGGGACCGCGTGCTGAAAAGGAGGGACAGCACAGGCACTTTGCTGCACAAGCCCGGCGCTCTCTGGGCTGGGCAGCGCAGGGTCCCCGGGCAGCCCCAGACCCCGCCACCCCCGGCCTGTCATGGGGCCCCGGCTGCCCGAGGCTCTGCTCCGTGCACCTTTGCACTTGCTAGCACACAGCCTGACAGCTTGGGGTGTAAGGCTTGTGCACAGGCTGCTGGACAGGTGAGGTGTTATTTTTGACATCCTAGAAAGGCTTCTCGAAAAAACATGCAGGTTCAAGTTCACATCCTTCTGTAGTACTCAAAAAATGAAGAGGAGCCCAGAACTGACCCTTAGCCTTTTCGGCTCAGGCTGATTCTCTGAGCAGCAGCCACTCAAAAACCCCACGTTGTACCAAGAGCAGCCCCAGATTTCCTGACAACATCAGGTAGAAGAAAAGAAACCTTTAGGAAACAGGCTCTGTGACGGTCATTCTTAAGAGCTTTCCAGTTACGCTTTTGTTTGTGGGAATGAATTCCATTTGAAGATACATCAAGGAGATACCAGAGATGCTGATGTTAAGAAGCGAAATGGGAAAGTTGGAGGGTCAGAACCCTGAGGGCAGGGTCAGGCTCTCGGACCCCCAGAGCCCTCTTTGACTGATCTAGTGTGGTTATTTTAATTTTGTAACTTTTTAAAGACGAGTCACTGTTAAGGTCAATAAGAACAATCTGGTGGTGTTACTTATTTATTTGGTTTTGAAGACAAGACAACATGAAGGTAACAATCTGGACTTAGGTAGGGAAGCAAACTGTCTCTGAGGGTTTCTGCCATGCATTTGTGTCTGTCAGGGACAAGAAGTTCTTTGTTCCAGCCAAAGTAAACATGGTATATATTTTTTACCCAACAGTTGCAAGGGGCTGTTTCAGTACGCTTTCACTGTGCAGTGTACCAGATATCTTCCTGCAAAGCACAGGCACCAACCAAGCCTTTGGGGGGGGGGGGGTGTAACTAGGCACGTTCCCAGGTGATATTTGGCACCAAACCCACCTGTGTGCTCCTCCTAGGACTTGTCCACTTCCCAGCACCGTGGACCAAGCAGGGCTGCGGCACGGTCACCCCGAGCAGCACGGGTCTCGCTGGGCGTGCAGCAGACCCCTCTGCCTTTGCAGGGCACCCGACCAGCCCCGGCAGACATTAAATGGTGCAAAATCCAGGGACCTTGGTGTGACAGAGGTTAGCTCTCTTGATCTAACTCTTCAGGGGGTGATCAGAGCGGCCTCAGATTTTGTGCAAATAGACAGAACAATTGGGAAGCTCAGATCTAAAGTTGGGGGCTGACCTTCCCCATCTGCTAGGGCTTAGCTTGACCAGGCTTTGGTTTAGCCTCACATCTGCAGTGGATCCACTAATATTCATTACAGAGTACCAGCAGGATGAGCCTGGTCAGGATTTTGCTTCACACCAGCCCTTGGGATCGGCCGCTCCTTTACAACCCCCCTCCTGCAGGCGTCCATCCTTAACCCCGGTATCACTCTGATGGGCACAGGTTTCCAAACCAAAAGGATCAAATTGGAGAGTTCATGTTTCACTTATTTTAGTGAACCTACTCCTCACTACCTACTTGCTTATTTTTTGCCCAAGTTGCTCACTGGAATCCTTGTTGAAGATCAGCAACACCTAACAAATGGCAGCAGGAAAAAAATATGAACTGGAACAGGAGTTCCCTGTTTGATCTTGCATCAAATTGGCTCCTACTGCCGTCAGTGCAGGCAAAAGCTGAGTAATAGATTATTTTTTTTTTACCCCCTCTCCACTAAAAACTTTGGAGTTCAACTTGACAATAGCCTCAGCACTGCCTTCCAGTGCTGGGCTGCCCACAGCCCACAGTGTTAACAGGACACAACAGTACTTTGTGCACTCCGAGATGGTCTCGAAAGTTTAGCTCCATCACATCTGGGTTTATCCAGAACTTCTGCACCAACTTCACGCTGAAAATCTGCCAGATTCTCTGGAAGAAACTCCTTGTGCTCACCTATCTAGTATTCCTCACTACTCCTAAGAGCATATGTATTTTTATCACAAAATACCAGGCTTAAAGTCCCCAAAGGTCCTTCCAGCCACACTGCTGTTCTGGAAGGAGGTTTTCTTTAGCGTGCATGTCATAAGCACTGATGTCATCCTGCCATGCGATGCTCACGCTTCCCTCCCCAGGCAATGAGCCAGCAGCCTGTTCATGCAACAACTACTTTCTCAGAAAGTGAATTTTTGCTATACATTGTCCTGAGTTCTTTATGTGTCATTACCCAAAAGCTGATATCTAAGGGAATATTACTTCCTTTACTCCCTCAGGCTTACTTCTGGGCTTGTCCTTGCAACTGCTTGTGGTCATACAGCTTTAAAAATTACTCGTGTGCCTTGAGAAGAGTCTGTGGGGCACTGTGGAGCTGATGGACACCTTCATCTTTTAAAATGCCTACAAAACTCCAGCCAAAGAACAAGTATAAATATCAAAAGCTAGAAATAAAATTCTGCCTAAATCTGAAAATTCACAGCTCTAGACCCACTCGGTCCCACAAAGGAAAAAAAGCAGCGCAGGCAAAGGCAAGTACCCTGGTGCGACACAGCGGTACAATGCACGATGCAGCAGCAGTAAAAGGAGCACGCTTGCCAAAAAAAGTAGATATGTTTCCATTCCTTGATCGAGGCCATAGCCCTGATGCTCAGTTCGCACCAGCACGGGATTACATACACCTTTGGACTGACCTGCGAGGCGTTTTTCCCTTGCGCTCTTCCAGAAGCCATCCCAGGCCTTGCCGGTGGGGCGCCTGGGGTGGTCGCTGAGGCATCGCCTCAGGTGGGGCTTCCCGGGTGCCTCCGTTCTCATCCCGACGGATCCAAACCCTTGGAGAGAAATTGCAGGGCGTTAGGACCAAGGCAGGTCCGTTCTCCCGGCGTTTGCCTCTTCGGCTGGACTAGAGAAGTTCCCGCAGAGGAGAAGTCCACAGGTAGCCAGTGAACATCCCTCTGGCAAGAGCGGGGAGCGGAGCCCAGGGCAGCGGCCCCACTGGCGTCCCAGCACAGATCACAGCCCAGCTCCGCAGCTCGGCTCCCTCCTCCTATAAACACGGCCGTTCCCTGCCGCCCAGGGCCATAAATAAAGAGCGAGGCGACGCGTGTTTCTGGGAGCGCTCTACCTTTGCGTTCCCAGCTGCGCTGCAGTAACCGTCTGCGGAACAGCTTCCCCCTCCTCTCTGAGCTTGCTAACCCACCGTGTCTGTGCGGTGGGCTGCGTGCCTGCTGTCTCCTTTACTATAGCATAGGATCATCTAGGTTGGAAGGGACCTTTGAGATCATCGAGTCCAACCACCAACCTCACACTGCCAAGTCCACCACTAAAACATGACCCTCAGCACCGTGTCTACCTGTCTTTTACGTACCTCCAGGGATAGCGACTCCACCACTTCTCTGGGCAGCCTGTTACTAGTGGGTAGTTGTTTATTTGGGAGGGGTTTTGTTGTTTTTTTTCATGTTTTTTAAATATTTATTTTGAACAGAGCAGCCCGGTCTAGAAATAGGGTGGGATACTTCTCCTGTGTTATGGGCTTAACCTGAGCGAAGGTGTTGTGCAGAGACCACTCAAACAGAAGAGGTGTCCAGGACTAGGATTCATCAGTTACCTGAGGAACATCCTCAGAGAAACCCTGCTCCAAAGGCACTTCTGCCCTGTGGTATCTGCTCTCTCGTGTACTCGCTGCCCTCTACAGAGGGGTGAGTAATGCTCAGGCCTTGCAGCCTTATTTTACTTACAGAAACCCAGACTGGCATAGACACAGTAAGACACAGGGGAACCATCTTCCTGGGCACCACAGCTCCCTCCAAACACCTCTTCACAGGGTGCCCTTGGACCTGTCTTCGCTGTAAAGGCAAACTCCAGAATCACGACTGATGCTGCCTGGGCAGGGGCTGGAAGCAGCGATGGGGATGTACAAAACCCCTCTGCCGTATACCTGTTCAGTTACCTGCTTGTGACGTGGTGCCCACATAAATATGTTCTCATAAGACCCTGCTGGAAGAAGTAGAGGCACATCCAATCATTAAATTTAGGCCCCTTCCCTGTTTGGGACATGAGAATGAAATAGCTTTGAAGTGGAAGCCGCTGCGTATGGGCAAAAAGCAAATACCCACCATGTAGCTCAGCACTGATGAAGCTCCTTGGCAAAATCTGTCCTGAAAAAGAAAAGAAATTGATGGGGAAATAACTGGAACGACTGCTGGTATTACATACGGGCTTTACACGTCCACCATTGCTATTTCTGGCAGGCGGTCTGCGTCTGATATCTCCCAGGACTAAGTTTTGATGGTATGTGCTGAAGCAAGTTCAGCGCACAGCAACACTTACCGGGCGGCTCCCCCACACACATCACCGCCACACGCACGCGTCTATACCTCAGCTGATAAATCACCCCACCCCCAGAGCTGGATGCTCCTCACTGAGCACACAACTGCATCCAGGGGAGGGCTGAGAGCGCCCCGAGAGCCTTTGGAGTTGATTCCTTATGTTGTGGACTGTTGCTGCAAGCCTGCATCCTCATTAAGACAACTTAATTAATGTCCCCCAGCGGAAAGAAATTTGACGACTAGAGGCACAGCTGATGACAGGCACAGTGACTGCTCTGAGGCTGTGAACCGCAGTGTTACGCATCCTCTCCTCAGCGCTGCCGCACGCTTCAGACCTGCAGAGCAGACTGGGTAGTTCTCAGCCACAGTTCATGTATTTGATACAACAAACTCACACGCATAGCTGATTTTTTGGCCTGAATTTCTTAGACGCTTGAAGGAAGTGTCACGATGAAGAGAAACCATTAAGTATATGCTTCCATTTAAAAAAGGGTTTTGGACAAATTAAAGGTTTTGGACAAATGAAATCCTCAGATATAACGGCGGGTGCAGCTGGGCCACGCGAGCAGCCGTTCCCCACTCCCCCCTGTGCGGGACGGGCTCAGAGCAGCGAGCTCATCCCACGCAGACATCACCCTGCCCACATCCAGGACGCATTACAGGGAATAACCCTTCCATGAAGATGAGACTTAACGAGATGAAGGCATTTAGGTTTAAAACCAAAGTAAGCAGCCACCTGAAGAGTGATGGCAGAGACACATACCACAACCTGCGCAGGAGGCTGGTTTCCATCCCAGTGCCTGGAGGGTGCGCAGGGGGACACAGAGACACCCCGAACCCTCCAAGGGCGAAGCGGAGCTCCGTGCCACCCAGCCCATCGCACGGCTGCTGCTCAGAGGAAGGAAAAAGCATCATGAGCAGCTGGGGTGGAGAGAGCAAAGCAACAAATTTATGTTCATTCTGGTTTGCTTGATACAGTTAATGTCACCTCCCAACATAGTTGTGCTGGCAATGCTTCTAACCAAACCCAGAGGTTTTTAATATTAAAAAGCAGTTAAACATATACTGCGCCACGTGCGGAGCTATGCTCCAAGCGTGATCCCGGGGAAGCGCAGTTTTCCTTCTGCTGATGAAAAAGGCCGTGAGAGTTTTGGGAGGGCAGCACCAGGCCCACAGAGGAACACTGGAGGTCCACGCAGCAGCTTTTCTCCCAGACCCATGGCGTGCCGTGAGGTGCCGGCAGCAGTGCCCTGAGCCCCTCGGCCACGGGCGGCAGGCAGGTCATGGCCATGGCTGCTGCCTGCAGCAGGGCCCGGCACCGCACAGGCGTCTCCCACCGATGGCTGACGGCTCCTGGCGTGGGGAAAGCACGTGGTTCCCCTCCCAAGGGCACGGAATGGCCTTTGGGTTGGTACCTCGGAGCAGTCCCAGCCGTAGCGGCACTGGCACGCTCCTGCCTCACTGCACAAAACTCGTTTTGCTTCATTTCATTTTTTCCTTGATGCCTAATGAGTCTGTGAGAGTCACCTCCAATTTCATGGAGATATCACAGCTGTAAAGATGAAAATCTGCTTCATAAAGCCAAAAAACCCCAAGAATGAACAGTCAGGCTATGCATATAAAGGAACTAAAGTACCTCCTGTTGTTTCCCAGACATGGCCCTGGGCTTAAACATGATGCATGCTAAAAATAAAGCTGTGGGTAGGAAAAAGCAGCAAAGTTGCTCTACATTCCTAGAAGCTTCTCACATTCACATCTCGGCCTTGGGATTCCTGCAAGGGCCAAAACATTTCCTGAAACATCAAGCCATTTCGAGATGAAGCGAACATCCTCACTCAGCAGATGTGTTTGGGGAACTGGCATTTTTAAATTATCCAGAATGGTAAAACAACAGATTTGAACAACAAAAAAAAGCCAACAGCTAGTCATTAGAGTTGCTGCAACAATAATCTGAACTTGTCTATAGCATTAAAGGCTAAGATACAAGTGCTTTTATGCACCATTTAGCCTCTCCCTTGTGGAGAACTTGAGCATTTGTGCATCTGGATTTCATCTGCGCCTGAATGAGACTGTGGGTGTGACATTTTAGCTTGAGGTGGCTGCAGCTGGTAATGATGTGTTTGGATACTGCCACTCTTTCTCAGAAACATTGAAAGGGGTGCGTGAGCACATGCATACTGTTAAAAAAGATAATTAATGACTCAACAGCTAAGGTTAAACTCGAGTCCTTCTTTTGCCCAAAGAGACAGCTTTATTAGACAGCATAGAGGAGTATTTATTCACAGTTAAATAATTAAAAAAAAAACAAACAGTTTGAAGGTAAGAGGTTTATTGTTTAGCCAAAGGCTGCTTACAGCACTCAAGGCATGCTGTCAGAGCGAGCCAAGAAACGTCCTGCGTCCGTCTGCAGCGAGCAGGCAGCAAGCAGCAGGGCCGGGCATTGGCACCAAAACATGCTACAAGTCTTGAGTAAGAGGGATGTCTGATTTTTCTTTACATGCAGAATTTGGCCTTCTCAACTGCTAGGCACCAATGTAAGATATTTCCCGCCCATCTCTAGTCTAACAGCTAAAGCTGTCATTTCCCAAGACAGACCTCACCAAGGGAGAGGTTTCACTACCAGATAAGGGTTATAACCAGATCAGATATCAATGGTTGATGTTCCCGCTCAGAGCAAAGAGCAACCACGCTATCTGTTGTCCACAGCGTTATTTACAAATACCATGGTGGTAAAAAGCAGCCTCTAACCCCCAATCATACTCCTCCGTTACAAATAGCAACACGGAGGTTGCTTCTTTCCTCCTCAAGAGGAGGAATGTTCAACCAGGAATTTAGGATTAATTATCTAAGGCAGGAAAAAGCGGTGCTATGTTAAAGACCTGAGACATATCAGTGGTTGTGCTTTCTTGGGCAAGTCAGCTGTTGCTTCTGAGCACTGCCTTTACGGAGAAACTAAAGGAGCAATGACATTTAGTTAAACTAGTCTGAAACACCCATAGGAAAACTTCGGTCATCTATTGAAAGCTCATTACACTGAACCGAGTAAACCTCCTCCTGCGCTGGGGGTGCCACCCCGAGCAGCCAGGCGCCGGCTGCCGCTCCGACCCGGTACCTCCCACCCTCCGGACTGACCCTCCGCACGGCAGCGGGGCGCTGCACCCGTCCAACTGCTGAAGGGGATGTCGTGTGTGAAAAAAGCTACCGGCAGGATGAACTGCCAAAGGTTTGTCTGGGAAGAGCTGTTGGTCCCGCAGCCGCACTGCCACCTGGAGCAGATCTCGCCTGCCTCCCATAACCCTTCTCCCTGCTTCCTTCTTCCTTCTCTCAGAGAAGTTTTTCAGCTTCTTACATGTTACGTTCCCAATGCACAGAACCTGGGAATAGTGTGGTTATCTGTAGTTTATACGGACAAAGATTCATTTAATACCCTTGTGGAAAAATTGTAGAAATCAGTGGGATTATAGGAGCCCACTGAAGCCGGGATACTTACTCGATGTACAGCTGGTTGTCATCAATTCTTATTTTTCAATCAACCTGTTATCCTGACACCCTTAAGCTACGGATTTCCTTTTAAATGGTGTCGTATAGGTTTGGTTATTTAAAATTCTGCTTTACCATAGTTGTTCTGTGGAACATATGAAACTTTTATACCAGGAGAACAGCAGACAGCCTTCCAATAAGGCTGGGAGTCTGTGCCAGCACAGGGATTTTCACACTATTTTAAGCATTTACAAGTTGTCTCAAGCCTTAAATGATAAAAACATCAAGTAGTGAGAGTGCAGTGAACTCAATATTTTGCTATTCAGCTAGCCTAGTGGGAACACGCTAGTGCAAATATTTAAATGTAAGCACCAGCTGGAGGCACTTCCTGCGGCTGCCGCCACCAGGCACGAGCCGGGTGTTAACCAGAACCCCTGGAGTGGCCCGAAGGCGAGACCCGGGAGCCGCTGCCCTAGAAGGAAAGGTATTAGCTACAGCCAGGGTGCTGTTACCGTGAAGGAACACAGATGCGCTTTAATAATAGCACCCGGGCTGAAGGTGACAACAGATGACTCAAAAGGACCAACGGCAGGTTTTGTGGAATCAATTTAGAGGCTTAAGGGAGATTTTGTTAAGCCTAAATCATTAAAGAAAACTTGTTTGCGCAGTTTCACTTCATCACCCTGTCACGGCCAGGGTTGGTGGGAGGAGATGTAGATATGGCCCAGGGTTGCACAAGAGCCCGTGGCACACCTGCAGCACCTCCCTTTGCTCTCTCAGCCTCTTTACGCGCATCACCTCAGGCTCGCAAGTGCTTTTACTGGCACCACTGGACAGATAACCCATTTGCATGTGATCCCCTGAAACACAGCTGTACCAAGCACAGGGGGCACCGAAGTGCGTTCAGCGCGGGCTGGCCCAGCTTGCCCTCCTACAAGCCACGCTCAGCCCACCCCCAGGCTGGGCTGCAGCCCCCTCCCCAGGCGTTGCTGCGCCTGCCGAGAGAAGCACCAAGCTGCGGCTGGGACGGACCCCAATTCAAGCCTGTGCAGGCTTTCGGGAGCATCTACAGGGGGAGATGAAAAAAAAAAAAGGAACAAGTTTAGTACTCACCAGACCCAAACCAGCAACTCCTGCGTGCTGAGGAATGGCTAGTGACCCGCAGGGGAGAGGCTGTGCCCTGCAGAGATGCTCAATGGGGGCACAAGGGACTCACCTGATTAAAAAGAAAAAAATGAAAGAAAACATCTTTTTTAAAAAAATGAGGGATTGGAAAATAATGTTTAAAAAATGAAGGCATGTTTTCCAGCAATTTACCCAAGGATTATCCATAGCCAAGCAGGGAAAGTAGGGTCCAGAGCTGAAGGAATGATTTCTTTAATTTCTTTTTAAAATAAGATGCTCTCAGTTTCCCAGGAAATTCTCTAAAAGGACAATATTGTGCCAACAAAAAGCCAGATTTAGTTTTCATAGTCTCAGAATGATACATTTGTAAGCCTATACCAGGCTAAAAATTGACAGCTCAAGAGGATCACCGCATCTCTGAAGACAGAGAATGAAGAGCCAAGAAGCAGGTTATTAGAGACTGAAAAAGATACTCACTTCGAGTAAAATACTGTTGTTTTATGCATGGGAGTAGGACAAGCTAGGACAGCCGTCTCGTATTTCTTCAGAGAACACAGGCATTTGAATGAAATAATGAACAATACTATAAACCAGAATCACATTGCAAATAAACATGTAAGTGACAAGTGTTATTTCAACACATCTAGTTTCATGTCTCCTGAAAGAGCTGTTAAGAAGTCCCTCTAAAAGTGCTGGAATTTTTTTTCTTCAGCAACACTTTCCATCAACATGAGCTGCAGTGACTGGACAGGAGGTTTTTAGGTGTGACATTTCTTTTAGTATTTTGCTGACACCTTCTGATTTGGAAAAATCTGTTCCAAATCCTACAATCCAGTAACTAAAGTGACTAGAGAGCAGCCATGTGTTAATCCAACATTGCCAGGAGCGACTGAAAGCCTTATTGTGCCATCAAATTGCATTCTAAAACAAGTTTTTTGATGTTAAACTGCACGTCCTAAGCACGAGAGCCCATGAAGTGTGAAACCCAACTTTACCGCATCTGTTCACGAGAGGTAATCTCTATGCCAGTGCTTCACCTCTCAGGAAGCGAAGGCTCAGCCTTTCCCCCGGAGCAGCCCCGTCGCTTTATAGCCACGTGGTGCAGATCTTGCTGCCAGCAGGGACATGAACAGTGCCACATGCCACGCTGCTGAGTCCCGCAGCACTGCGTGAGCCTGCGAATGCCAAAGAGAAGTGAAACACATCCCTAATTCACCTCGGGTTTCAGATTATACATTTGACGAGTGGGATCATTAATGAGCATGTGCTGCTGTCACCTGTCACCACTCTCCCTGTGGCAGTGGTGGAGGTTCCCCAGGGCCACCTCAGGGGCGCAGCATCCCTGTGCCCTCGCCTGCGGTGGGCTGCAGCCTGGGGGCACACCCCAGGGATGCCCCAAACCCCAGGTCCACGGAAATGCTCCAGGTCGAGCAGGTGTCCTGGAGCACGGTCTAGGTTGGAAAAACAGTTTAACAAAACTTAGCAAATATATTTGAAAATAACCTTAGAACTAAGCTGAGATTCGTTAATTAGTGGTTTCAGCCTCCCAGTGAAGCCCACCAGGAACCAACCACCGCTAGAACAGCTAGATCAACCTTTGCAAGTATAGGTGAGGGACATGCAAATTTGCAGGGAGAAGCTCCCGAACTGGGGTTCTATCTGTGACCCCTGTTGCTTGACACACTG